AAAATTCTAGCCAATTGAATCCAACAACACATAAGAAAGATCATTCACCCAGACCAAGTGGGATTTAGCCCTGGTATGTGCAGATGGTTCAACATCTGCAAATCAATCAATGTGATACATCACATTAACAAACTGAAGAACAAAAACCATATGATTATCTCAATAGATGCAGAGAAAACATTTGATAACATTCAACACCCTTTCATGATGAAAACTCTAAGCAAATTGGGTATAGAAGGAACATTCCTCAACACAGTCAAGGTAATTTATGACAAACCCATGGCCAGAGTCCTATTGAATGGGGAAAAGTTGGAAGCATTCCCAGTGAGATCTGGAACCAGACAAGGATGCTCACTCTCTTCAATATAGTCCTGGAAGTCTTAGACAGAGCCATTAGGCAAGAAAAAGAAATCAAAGGGATACAAATTGGGAACGAGGAAGTCAAACTATCCCTATTTGCAGATGACATGATTATATAGAGAGAGGATCCAAAAGATTCCATCAAGAGTCTATTGTAACTCATAGAAGATTTTAGTAAAGTATCAGATATAAAATCAATACACAAAAATCAACAGCCTCTGTATACATAGACAATGCTATGGCTGAGAAATAATTTATAAAATCAATCCCATTCACAATAGCTACCAAAACATCAAATAGTTTTGAATAAATTTAACCAAGCATGTCAAAGATGAGAATTATAAAACATTAAAGAAACAGAAGAAGATACAAAAAATGGGAAAATCTTCCGTGTTCATATTTGGACAAATCAATATCATCAAAATATCCATTCTTCCAAAAGCAACTTATAGATTCAATATGATACCAATCAAAATACCAAAGACATTCTTTTCAGATATGGAAAAAATGAAAATTTTTAAAAGGGGGGGGGGGTTGCTGGCACTGTGGCGCAGCGGGTTAAAGCCCTGGCCTGAAGTACCGGCATCCCATATGGGCTCCAGTTCTAGTCCCAGCTGCTCCGCTTCCCATCCATCTTTCTGCTATGGCCTGGGAAAAGCAGTAGAATATGGCCCAAGTCCTTGGGCCCCTGCACCCACATGGGAGACCCAGAAGAAGCTCCTGGCTCCTGGCTTCAGATCAGTGCAGCTCCAGGTGTTGCGCCATCTGGGGAGTGAGCCAGTAGATGGAAGACCTCTCTCTCTCTGTCTCTACCTCTCTCTGTAACTCTATCTTTCAAATAAAAATAAATATTAAAAAAAAGAAAAAAATGATGCTGAAATTTGTATGGAAACACAGGAGACCTCGAATAGCTAAAGCAATCTTATACAACAAAAACAAAGCTGGAGGCATCACAATACCAGATTTCAAGACATACTACAAGACAGTTATACTCAAAACACCCTGGTACTGTGGTACCAAAACAGATGGATAGACCAGTGGAACAGGATAGAAATGCCAGAAATCAGTCCAAGCATCTACAACCAACTTATATTTGACCAAGGAGCTAAAACCAATTCCTGGAGCAAGGACAATCTCTTCAACAAATGGTGCCTGGAAAACTGGATCTCCACATGCAGAAGTATGAAGCAGAACCCCTACCTTACACCTTATACAAAAACCCATTCAAAATGAATTAAAGACCTAAATCTACAACCTGATACCATCAAATTATTAGAGAACACTGGGGGCCAGCAGGATACTGGCACAGGCAAAGAGTTCTTGGGGGAGGGCAGCGCTGTGGTGTAGTGTGTAAAGCCACTGCCTGCAGTGCCAGCATCCTATATGGGCATGGGTTCGATCCCTGGCTGCTCCATTTCCAATCCAGCTCTCTGCTATGGCCTGGGAAAGCAGTAGAAGATGGCCCAAGTGCTTGGACCCCTGCACTCACGTAGGAGACCTGAAAGAAGCTCTTGGCTCCTGGCTTTGGATTGGCGCAACTCTGGGTGTTGCGGCCAATTGGAGAGTGAACCAGTGGACGGAAGACCTCTCTCTCTGTCTGCCTCTCTTTCTCTCTCCTTTTCTCTCTGTGTAACTCTGATTTTCAAATAAATAAATAAATAAATAAATCTATCTTTAAAAAGAGAGAGAGTTCTTGGAAAGACCCCAGAGGCACAGGCAATAAAAACCAAAATTAGCGAATTAGGATTACATCAAATTGAGAGGCTTCTGTATTGCAAAAGAAACACTCAAGAAAGTGAAGAGGCAACCGACAGAATGGGAGAAATTATTTACAAACTATGTAACTGATAAAGGATTAATAACTAGAATATATAAAGAGATCAAGAAACTCCACAACAACAAAATAAACAACCATGTTAAGAAATGGGCAGGTGCTGGCTCTGTGGCTTAGTAGGTTAATCTTCCACCTGTGGCACTGGCATCCCATATGGGTGTCGGTTCTAGTCCTGGCTGCCCCTCTTCCAATCCAGCTCTCTGCTATGGCCTGGGAAAGCAGTAGAAGATGGCCCAAGTGCTTGGGCCCCTGCACCCACATGGGAGACTGGGAAGAAGCACCTGGTTCCTGGCTTTGGATCGGCGCAGCTTTAGCCGTTGCGGCCAACTGGGGAGTGAACCAATGGAAGGAAGACCTTTCTTTCTGTCTCTCCCTTTCACTGTCTGTAATTCTACCTGTCAAATAAATAAATAAAATCTTTTAAAAAAAGGGAAATGGGTAAAGGACTTAAACAGACATTTTTCAAAAGAGGAAATCCAAATGGGGGCCGGCGTCACAGCTCAATAGGCTAATCCTCTGCCTGCGGCGCCGGCACCCCGGGGTCTAGTCCCGGTCGGGGCGCCAGATTCTTTCCTGGTTGCCCCTCTTCCAGGCCAGCTCTCTGCTGTGGCCAGGGAGTGCAGTGGAGGATGGCCCAAGTGCTTGGGCCCTGCACCCCATGGGAGACCAGGAGAAGCACCTGGCTCCTGCCATCGGATCAGCACGGTGCACCGGCCGCAGCGCGCCGGCTGTGGCGGCCATTGGAGGGTGAACCAACGGCAAAAGGAAGACCTTTCTCTCTGTCTCTCTCTGTCTCACTGTCCACTCTGCCTGTCAAAAAATAAAAAAAAATAAAAAAAGACATGGAATCAACCTAAATGCCCATCAACTGAAGACTGGGTAAAGAAATTATGGGATATGTACTCTATGGAGTACTACACAGTAGTAGTATTTGCAACAAAATGGATCAATCTGGAAAACATCATACTTAGTGATATAAGCCAGTCCCAAAGGGACAAATATCATATGTTCTCCCTGATCTGTGATAACCAATAGAGCACCTAAAAGGAAACCTGTAGAAGTGAAATTGACACTCTGAGAAGCAGTGACTTGAATAGGCCTTGTCCTGACTGTGAAGGAAAGTTTTTTTTCCTTTTTTCTCTCTTCTTCACACTATTTGTTGAACTCTTCACTTAACAAGTCCATTGAAAATAGATCTCAGTAAAAGTTAAGTGTGGGAATAAGAGAGGGAGGAGGAAGTTTACAACTGTTAAGCTGTATAGTTCTTCATACATTCCTACGGACTTACTTCTAAGGGTACAGTTTAAAAACTTGCCATGGGACCCCAAATTCCATTAAGCTGGGTGGTAAAAATGCCATATTAAGTGTTAAAGTGATCATATAGATAGGATTAAGCATTAAAGGGATCATATAAATAAGATCAGATAATAATTAGAATTAAACAGGAGAATGTTCCAACACAGTAGGCTCATAGAATGACAACCACTTTATATAGCACTTTGACCTCAGAATCAACCCTTAAGGTATTCTGGTCTGGCTGAAAAGCCCATGAGAGCATTTCAGGTATGGAAAGCCAAGACACTGGAAAAAAAATGTCCTACAGGAAGGATCTCTGTGAGAGAGACTCCAGTGGAAAGAAGTGGCCATCAAAGAAGGTTGTATTTTTCTCTGAAGGGAGAACTTCCACTTTGCTTATGGCCTTGTCTAAATACTGATGGAGATTGTGGATCCAAAATCTTCCATAGCCTTGGCAGCTCATGCCGAGAGCCTCAGGTGATCACTGACATCATACATAAGAGTGTTAATTGTTAAAAACACCAGGAGTCACTGTGCACTTACTTCCCATGCAGGACTTCTGTCTTCAATGAGTTGTATTATGAGAATTAACCATAAAATTTGTTCTCAAACAGTTTTTTTGTGCGTGTATGTGCAAATTTTTGAAATCTTTACTTAGTATAGAGTTGGTCTTCTGTGTATAAAGTTAAATGAACATGAATCTGAATGGAGAATTCGATGGAATGGGAGAGGGAGGAGGAGGGATGGGAGGATGGGAGTGGGGGAGGAGGGGCAGGTGTGGTGGGAAGAATCACTATATTGCTAAAGTTGTACTTATGAAATTTATACTCATTAAATAAAAGGTTTCTTTGGGAAAAAATATATATACAGCTCTTGGAGCAGGCAATTAACTGTGGTGCAGAGGTCAAGCCACCACTGGAAGTGCCTGGAATCAAATCCTGCCTCTGCTCCCGATCCATCCAATCTAGCTCCCTGATAATGCACCTGGAAGGCACCACATGATCGCCCAAGTGCTTGGGTTCCGGTCACCCACTGGAAGACCCAGATGGCGCTCTTGGCCCTGGTTTTCTGGCCCAGCCCAGCCACCAGCATCAGGGAGTGAACCAGTCAATGGAAGAGCTTGCTCTCTCTCTCTCTTGTTCTCTCTCTCCCTCTCATTTTGCCTTTCAAATACATAAATAATAATATTTTTGAAAAATATATATATCTTGCTTCCTCTCTCCCCTTGTGATTCACACACACACACCACCACCACCACCACCACCACCACCAGCACGTGCTGCTATCTGCCATGCGGCCCTCACCAGAAGCACATGCAGGTGCTTAGATCTCCCTGATGGTAAGCTAAATAAACCTCTTTGCTTTTTAAGTGTAAAAAAATAAATAAATCATAAGTTCACTCAGGAGTCCTCAATTTGCTGGAATGTGTGCATTTTGGTTAATTTTAGTAGGAAAAGGTATTACATACATAAAGCTCTAGCTACCTAGATCACTGAAAATCTGCACTTACGGGGCATTGTTACGTCTTGATCTTCACTTTTCTCTGTAGCGTCCGTGGACTGACTCTAGTATCCCCTCTAAGCGAAGAGCACATCTGATGGTTTGGTTCACAATTCGTAAACTGTGTGGTGCAATCGGAGAGACTTTCACACAACTGAGACTGCCCAGGTCTCGACCCCCTGCCCGTGCAGGCCTCTGTAAGTGATACGCCAGCTCCTCGGCTCTGAGTTTCCAGAGGAGGCTAGGAGTGATGATCTTGGGAAAGCAGAGATCTGGGAAAGAAAAAAGCATCATTGTTTTTTGACGTTTATGTTCTTAAAAGCTCACCATGGAGGCACTCATCAACAAGCACTGGCTGGATGAATGGAAGGGTTGGTACGCAGCCCCACGCCCTGCCCCCAGACAGGCTGAAAGCCTGCTTCGGCAGGCCAAGAAAACTGAGTTCCAGGCCAGCCCTGTGGCTCAATAGGCTAATCCTCCACCTGCAGCGCCGGCACACCGGGTTCTAGTCCCGGTCAAGGCGCCGGATTCTGTCCCGGTTGCCCCTCTTTCAGGCCAGCTCTCTGCTGTGACCAGGGAGTGCAGTGGAGGATGGCCCGAGTACTTGGGCCCTGCACCCCATGGAAGACCAGGAGAAACACCTGGCTCCTGGCTTTGGATCAGCGTGGTGCGCCGGCCGTAGCGCACCGGCCGCGGCGGCCATTGGAGTGTGAACCAACGGCAAAAGGAAGACCTATCTCTCTGTCTCTCTCTCACTGTCCACTCTGCCTATCAAAAAATAAATAAATAAATAAAATAAATTTTAAAACAGAAAGAAAACTGAGTTCCAGGCTGGTTCAGGACGAATGGAGGGGGCAGTTAAGCTCAGTGGTTTGCACTGTGGTCCCTGGGTCAGGCTGACGGAGCTCAGGACTGGCCCTGGTAGTCTCTAGTTGGTAGAGTTGATAGAGCAACATGCAAATGCTAGGAGCTGCCAGCAGGATTAAATGATAGAGAACATGTAAACTGCTTGGCACTTCAAGTTACTCTGCTTAAGAGCTGCTCTGATTAGTGCGAGAATTCAGTGCCCATTAGCAATCCCCAGCATTGGTCAGAAAGACCCCACTAGCAGGCTTGAGCCATCTGCGCCTCTCCTCACAGCTCCTCCTCGCGCTCCCAACATCTCCACCTCACTGTCTAACCGCGGGATCCGAGGTCCCAGAGAAGGGACAGCCAAGCAAGCAGTCGACTCCCAGTCAATGCAGAAGCGGAAATGTCAGAGCGGGGGAGGAGACAACAGGCCACCTACACAGACACTGGCCGTGCCACAGCTCCCGCACCAAAGGAGACCCAGACTCCCAGCAGCCGCGCTGGAGGGAGGAAGCCAGGAGCGCATCTTCAAGCTGCAGAGGGGGAATTCGGTGCCTGGACACCCTGCAGGACAGCACAGAATGAAGACATTTTCAGGTGTTCGAGAATTGAAAAAGTGTGACACATTCTAGCAGGAAATTATACAGAATTTTTTTAGTTTATTTCTAAAGATTTATTTATTTATGTGAAAATACATGCACACACACACACACAGAGAGAGAGAGAGAAAGAGAGAGAGAGAGAGAGAGAGAGAGAGAGAGAGAGAGAGAGAGAGATTTTATCCACTTGCCCACTCCCCAAATGACCACAATGGCTGGTGCTGGGTCAGATCGAAGCCAGGGGTCTAGAACTCTGTCTGGGTTTCTCACATGAGTGGCAAGGGCCCAAGTACTTTGACCGTTTTCCATTGCCTTCCCAGATGCATCAGCAGGGAGCTGGATGGGAAGTGGAGCAGCCGGGACTCGAACTGGTGCTTATATGTGATGCCAGCATTGCAGGCAGCAGTGTGACCCACTATGCCACAATGCCTGCCCCTAGTACAGCAATTTGACAACAGATGTCAAATAGTATTGAGACCAGTAAAGTCACTAAATGTTATGGACTGATTCAAAATCTCTAAAAAATTTGAGAGGGAGGGAGGGAGGGAGGGAGGGAGAGAGAGAGAACTCACATCTTCTGGTTCACTCCCCAGATGCACTCAACAGCTAGCCTGGGTCAGGGCTGAGGCTGGGAGCCAGAAACTCAATCCAGGCCTCCCATGTGGGTGGTCGGACATCAACTACTTGTGCCATCGCTATACCTCCCAGGGCCTGCATTAACAGGAAGCTGGAATCAGGAGCCAGAGCTGGGAATCAAACCCAGGACATGGGGAGCCAAACCACTGGGCTGAACACCTGCCCTCAAAACTTACCTTTCAGTTTCATTTTCCACAAACTCTCTGAAGTATCCTCATATGTACTGTGCACCTACTGAGCTGGCTGCACACTGGACCAGAGCAGGCCACCACACATCACTGCCTTCATGAAACTCACCTGCCAGTGGGCACAGACAGTAAACAATCACAGGAAAACCGAACAGACAGGGAGAACCCGGGGCCTCTATTTTTATTTTATTTTTATTTTATTTTATTTTTTTTTTTTTGACAGGCAGAGTGGACAGTGAGAGAGAGAGAGACAGAGAGAAAGGTCTTCCTTTGCCGTTGGTTCACCCTCCAATGGCCGCCGCGGCCGGCGCACTGCGGCCGGCGCACTGCGCTGATCCGATGACAGGAGCCAGGAGCCAGGTGCTTTTCCTGGTCTCCCATGGGGTGCAGGGCCCAAGCACCTGGGCCATCCTCCACTGCACTCCCTGGCCACAGCAGAGAGCTGGCCTGGAAGAGGGGCAACCGGGACAGAATCCGGCGCCCCGACCGGGACTAGAACCCGGTGTGCCGGCGCCGCTAGGCGGAGGATTAGCCTAGTGAGCCGCGGCGCCGGCCGAACCCGGGGCCTCTAATCACAACTTCCAGTTGAACAAATGTAGGAACTACAGTGATAGGAAACTGGACTACACACACGATTGGGCGTAGTCAAATGTGGGACACCTGTAAGATTCCCCTCCCTCCCTCTCTTTCCCTCCTTCTCTCTCTCTCTCTCTCTCTCTATCTCTTTCTTTCCTTTTCTAAGCAGAGACACAGTGTCCCTACCTGCTGCTCCACTCTCCAAATGCCCACAATGGCTGGGACCGGCCTGGCTGAAGCCAGGACCCAGGAACCCAATCCAGGTCTCCCACGAGGCCAACAACAACTCAATTGCTTGAGCCGTGACCTGCTGCTTTCCAGGATCTGCATCAGCAGGAACCTGGATTGGGAACCAGAGCCAGGACCCAAACCCAGGTGCTCTGATCATGTCCCTGGCCTGAATTCTTAAAAGGAATCAAAGTTGCTAACAACACAACAAGAGGGTGGCTCATGTAGCTTAAAAAGAATTAATAGGGGTGGCCCCCTGGTCTAGACACAACCTCAGCAACACGGTCGTGTGACCATCCCTCAGACACACAACAGGAGAATTCTCGGGAGAAACCAGAGTCCTGCAAGGTGGTCTACAGACGGGATATCCAGTGACCATCCCCTGTTCCAGCGTCCACAGCGCGAGGCCCATCAGACAGACAGCCCCTCCCTCCGAGGGCAGAGGTTCCACTCAGCACTGCTTGATGCCACGCTCCTAACATGAACAGGCAGCCAAAGGTCAAATGTCCAAGAATAGTCACCCCATAACGCACAAATACACACACAAAACAGAACAAAGTGGAAGGAAATTCAGGGAAAACGATCTGAAAACACAAGATTTGTGAATGGGAAAAAACCTCGGAACGCTAAGAGAACATGTATGTGAGCTAAGAAGTGTCATGTACATAAACAAGAAGCCATCAGTGAACAAACCAGAGTTAACATACAAAAATGCAATATCAAGAATAAGAGATAAAGTCAATGGGCCGGCGCCGCGGCTCACTAGGCTAATCCTCCATCTTGCGGGGCCGGCACACCCGGTTCTAGTCCTGGTTGGGGCACCGGATTCTGTCCCGGTTGCCCCTCTTCCAGGCCAGCTCTCTGCTGTGGCCAGGGAGTGCAGTGGAGGATGGCCCAAGTGCTTGGCCCTGCACCCCATGGGAGACCAGGAGGAAAGACCTGGCTCCTGGCTCCTGCCATCGGATCAGCGCGGTGCGCCAGCCGCAGTGCGCCGGCCGCAGCGGCCATTGGAGGGTGAACCAATGGCAAAAGGAAGACCTTTCTCTCTGTTTCTCTCTCTCTCTCACTGTCCACTCTGCCTGTCAAAAAAAAGAGAGAGAGAGAGAGATAAAGTTAATGAAATTGCTTAGGGAGTAGAACAGAGAGAGGGAAAAAAGGAGAAGGAAGGAGCTGTGTGGGGAGCAACTGGGAGCAACTCGGACTAGACTAAGTTACTGGAATTAAGACTTATTCTATGCATCTGCTCTCCCACAATATGGCGCTGGGAGAGGAGGAAACAGCTTCTACACAGCTGCCTCCAGTTTGACCAAAACCTGCAGGACCTGCTCCTGATTGGAGGAGAGCAGCGTGCTCGGCGTGTGGGTAGCAGAGTTGGGATTGGTGGAAGAGGACTATAAAGGAGGAGAGAGACAACATGCACCAGGAACATCTAAGGGGAACATCTATCTGAAGGAACACCTGTGCAGCCCCCGAGAAAGCCGGCCGGCAGTGTGCCGCTCCCCAGCGGAAGTGGGGAAAGTGGCAGGGGGAACCGCCCTTCCACGGAGGTGGAAGGGTCAGTAGCCAACCCGGGAAGAACCAGCAGCAAACCCGGGAAGGGCCGAGCAGACAAAAGAACAACGCAGGGTCCTGTGTCGTTCCTCCACGAAGAGGGGGAGCGACATAATGGTGCCGTGACTTGGATAGGAAACCTAGGAGGGAAGAAACGGGAAGAAGTGGGAAAATACCAGAGACAGAGACTAGCAAAGAGCCTAGGGAAAAGCCGGACGGAAAAGGTGCCGAAGAAGCTATTGAAAGCCTAGGCATAGACTTGGATACGGACTGTGGGAAAGAAGTTAGGATTTAAAGTGAAAGCAAGAAGAAACTTAGACTCGGATACGGACTGTGGGGAGAAGCCAGGAGAAATGAGGGAGGAATATTGTTGGAAGAAAAGTTAGGAAACATACCAGGTAGAGAAAAATGTTAGGGAGGATGAAGCTGCGGGGGCAGGCTGAGGTGGAGACATAAGCCAGCTTGGGATTCTTCAAGTCAGCCCGGGGAGCAAAAGGCGAAAATCTGGAACCAGAGGCAGAGATGTGGGCCGCCAGGTTGGAATCCGTCAGATTAGCCCGGGGAGCAAAAGACAGGAAGCCAAACTGAAAGGCGCAGACGTGAGCCAGGTTGAATTCGCCAGGTTAGCCCGGGGAGCTTAGACTGAATACCGGTGGCGGAAACGTGAGCTAGGCTGTGTGATTCGCGGAAGCCGCCGCGTGCAGAGAGAGCATGGGGCGTGAATAGATAGGGAACGCGGAGCTGGCGCGAGGCCGTGGTGCGGGCGCAAAGGGCGTGGAGACCGCGGAGTGCATGAAGCCGAGCCACGCAGAGCCAGGAAGCCGCCGCGGGGGAGGCGCCGAGAAGCAGCCTCGGGGCGGGCGCCGGGAAGCCGCGGAGATAAGAGAAACAGAAGTTTAGAAGTAAAATGAGAGAAATAGGAATGCTGGCAGATGGAAGTAAAATAGGAGAAATAGGAATGCCCGGAGATAGAGAAAGAGAGAAAAATAAGGCCTCCCCACAACACGGCAATGAGAGAGCTTGGATTCGGTCTGCCTGATTAGTAAGATGATAAGCACCTGTGGGCGGCTGCAGGTCACCGAAGACAGGCACGTTATCAACACCAATAAGTCTCCCCACAATACGGCAATGAGAGGGCTTGGATTCGTTTTGCCTGATTGGTAGGGCTTGTAAGCACCTGCAGGCAGTTCTAGCAGAGCAGAGCATGCGCTGCAGGGCACCGAACACAGGCACGCATCAGCACCTAAAAACCTCCTCACAACATGGCGAAGAGAGGACCCGGATTCGGTTTGCCTGATTGGTAGGGCTTGTAAGCACCTGTGGGCAACTCCAGCAAGCAGAGCAGAGTGTGTGCCGCAGGGCACCGAAGACAGGCGCGTATCAACGCCAAAAATAAAAAGAAAGGGGGATCTGTGGGGAGCAACTGGGAGCAACTTGGACTAGACTGTTACTGGAATTAAGACTTATTCTGTGCATCTGCTCTCCCACAATATGGCGCTGGGAGAGGAGGAAACAACTTTTACACAGCTGCCTCCAGTTTGACCAAAACCTGCAGGACCTGCTCCTGATTGGAGGAGAGCAGCGTACTCGGCGTGTGGGTAGCAGAGTTGGGATTGGTGGAAGAGGACTATGAAGGAGGAGAGAGACAACATGCACTGGGAACATCTGAAGGAACACCTGAGGAACCCCCGAGAGAGCCGGCCGGCGGTGTGCCGCTCCCCAGCGGAAGTGGGGAAAGTGGCAGGGGGAACCGCCCTTCCACGGAGGTGGAAGGGTCGGTAGCCAACCCGGGAAGAACCAGCAGCAAACCCGGGGAGGGCCGAGCAGATGAAAGAACAATGCAGGGTCCTGTGTCGTTCCTCCATGAAGAGGGGGAGCGACAGAGCTGTATGTCTGGCTCCACCCTGCCCTAGTAGAGCCACAGAAAACAGGGCGAGGATGCAGGCTGAGCCGAGAGGCAGCATGCAGGAAACTGCACAGAGCAGGAAAGTGGTACATCCGTAGGGTCAAAACTAAAACAACAAGTGGGGCGGGCACTGTGGCACGGTGGGTCAGACCCGCCTGGGACACCGGGCTCCCACATCACTGTGCCTGATGCAGGTCTGCTGCTCTGCTCCGATCCGGCTGCAGCTGGTATGACCCTCAGAGGCAGCAGGTGGCGGCCAGATGCTTGCGTTCTTGCCACCAACATGGCAGGCCCAGGTGGAGTTCTAGGCTTCTGGCTTTGGCCTGGCCCAGTTCTAGTCACTGCAGGCATTTGTGGAGTGAGCCAGCAGTTGTGAGGGCTTTCATTCTCTCTGTGTATCACTCTGCCTTCAAAATAAATAAAAATCAATTAACTTTAAAAAAAGGGGAACCGATATTGTAGCACAGCAGGTTAGGCCACTCCTGTGACACTGGCATCCCAAATGGGCACCGGTTCAAGTCCCAGCTGCTCCACTTGTGATCCAGTTCCCTGCTAATGCACCCGGGAAAGCAGAGGAAGATAGCCCAAGTCCTTGGGCCCCTGTACCCAAGTAGGAGACCTGGATGAAGCTCCTGGCTACTGGTTTTGCCCTGGCCCAGCCTCAGCTCTTATGTCCACTTGGGGAGTGAACCAGCAGATGGAAGACCTCTCTTCTCACTCTCTCTCATGCTCTCTGTAACTCTGCCTTTCAAATAAAGAAATCTTTAAAAAAAGAAAAGAAAAAGGCCAGCGCCGTGGCTCAACAGGTTAATCCTCCACCTTACAGCGCTGGCACACCGGGTTCTAGTCCCGGTCGGGGCACCGGATTCTGTCCCGGTTGCCCCTCTTCCAGTCCAGCTCTCTGCTGTGGCCAGGGAGTGCAGTGGAGGATGGCCCAAGTGCTTGGGCCCTGCACCCCATGGGAGACCAGGAGAAGCACCTGGCTCCTGGCTCCTGCCATCGGATCAGCGCGGAGTGCCGGCCGCAGCACGCCAGCCACGGTGGCCATTGGAGGGTGAACCAACGGCAAAAGGAAGACCTTTCTCTCTGTCTCTCTCTCTCACTGTCCACTCTGTCTATCAAAAAAAAAAAAAAAAGAAAGAAAGAAAGAAAGAAAAAAAAGAAAAAGAAAAGAGGGGCTGGAGATGTGGCGTAGCGGGTAAAGACACCGCCTACAGTGCTGGTATCCCATAGGAGCACCAGTTCAAGTCCTAGCTGCTCCACTTCTAATCTAGCTCTCTGCTATGGCCTGGGAAAGCAGTGGAAGATGGCCCAAGTGCTTGGGCCCTTACACCTATGTGGGAGACCCAGAAGAAGCTCCCGGCTCATGGCTTCAGATCGGCCATTTGGGGAGTGACAGCAGATGGAAAACCTCTCTCTGTGTGTGTCTCTACCTCTCTCTGTAATCCTGTCTTTGAAATACATAAAATAAATCTAGAAAAAATTCCAAGAGAAAAATATTTCCAATCTAGAATTTCATACCTAGCTAAACTACCAAATATGAGCAAAGAATCAATGTTTTTGGACAGACACAATGTCATAAAGCTTAGTTCTCATGATTAGTTTCTTTTAAAGCTATTGAACGATGCAGCTGGCAAAAGTGAAGGATAAAACAAGAAAGGGGAAGAAGATCTAAGATCCAGAGAGAAGAAAATCTAACACAGAAGAATGGAAAGCAGTGGCAAGAAGCCCTAGGAGGCAGCTATGAGGCAAGTGCAGAAAACAACTCTTCCACATCAGATCCAGCGGAGGAAGGGCTCCAAGATGGAAATTATCACCACCACTAACAACAACAACAAGGAACTGAGAGAGACCATCTGTTAGATTTGACCAGATGCACAAAAACACAGCAAGGGGGTAATAGATATCTGGAAGGCTTTGGTGAAAATTAGCCAAAGGCATGTGGAAAACTTGACAATTAAAAACCATGAGGCTATTTCAACGTGATCTATTACTTGCGCTGTGTTAGGCTATGATCAATCAACTTTCTGCTGCCTGGAAATTCTGTGCGCTTTTATTAAAAGTACAGAGGGCAAAAGGTGGTAAAGCTCTCCGATCATCCGCACTATTGACGACTTTCAGCCACCACTTCCCCCCCTCCACAGGAAACAAGCCCCACCTAAGAGCCTGAATCTTGACGTTGAAATCTTGACAGTAAGTACATCTTCCCAGGGATGACAGGAGACGGACTGCATGAAGGAAGCTTGGAAATGCACAATATCAGGATGAATAACTAGAAGTCAATGGAGTCAGCACTGTGACGCGGTGGGTAAAGCCACGGCCTGCAATGCCAGCATCCCATCCGGGTGCCAGTTTGTGTCCTGCTCACTCCATTTCCCATCAAGCTCCCTGTTAATGGCCTAGAAAAAGTGGCGGAAGATGGCCCCTGCCCCCCATGTGGGAGACCTGGATGAAGCTCCAGGCTTTGGCCTGGCTCAGCGGTGGCCACTGTGGCCATCTAGGGAGTGAATCAGTGAGTAGAAGATCTTTCTCTCTGTGTCTCTCCCTCTTTCTCTGTGATGCTGACTTTCAAAATAAATAAATGTTTTAAAAACAAAAAAGAAAGAAACTGAAGGATGGAAACATGCAGTACAAGCAACTGAGATAACTTCAGATGGGCATAAGCCATGCCAACCAGATGCAGACATGAGCGGACATTGTGGAAGTGATCACGGTTAAGTGATTAAAATTGCGGAGCTCAGAAATTATTCTGGACCCAATTATAGGGCTAGTGAAAGGAAAGATCAGTGAGGATGAGCTGGGTCCAGGTATATGGAAGGTTAATAGGGATCAACACTGTGGCACAGCGGGTTAAGCCACAGCTGGCAACACTGGCGTCCCACATCGGGGTGCCAGCTCAAGTCCTGGTTGCTCTGCTTCCAATCCAGCTTCCTGCTAATGAGCCTGGGAAGGCATAAGTTGATGACCCAAGAACTTGGGCACCTGCCACTCACATGGGACACCAGGACGAAAGTTCCTGGCTCCTGTCTTTGGCCTGATCCCAAGACCTGAATGCTGCGGACATTTAGGAGTGAATCCAAGGGAGGAACATCTGTCTGTATCTCTCTTCTCTCCACTCTCTTTGTTGCTCTGCCTTTCAAATAAACTTTTTTTAAGGACTTATTTATTGGGGCCCATGCTGTTAAGCCTAACCCTGCAGTGCTGGCATCCCATGTGGGCGCTGGTTTGAATCCCAGCTGTTCCATGTCCAATCCAGCTCCCTGTTAATGTACCTGGGAAGGCAGCGGAGGATAGCCCAAGTACTTGGGGCCCTGCACCCAAGTGGGAGGCCTGGAAGAAGTTCCTGGCTCCTGGCTTAGACCTGGCTCAGCCCTGCTGTGGCCATTTAAATAAATTTTAAAAGTTCATGAGGACACCTATTGTGAAAGAATGACTTGTGGGTTTCAAAGTTTTTTAGAACTAAAATAAACTTATTTAATTCCATTTCCCCATGAACTTTTTGAGGAACACTTCTGTGAATGCAGAGCCCTGCAAAAAGACATTAAGACTGCAAAACTGGCTACACAGGGGAGGAGTGTACAAGCATAGGCAAGAAAATAGTTTTAAAAACCAACAAACAGGGCCGGCGCCGTGGCTTAATAGGCTAATCCTCCACCTTGCGGCGCCGGCACACCGGGTTCTAGTCCCGGTTGGGGCGCCGGATTCTGTCCCGGTTGCCCCTCTTCCAGGCCAGCTCTCTGTTATGGCCAGGGAGTGCAGTGGAGGATGGCCCAAGTGCTTGGGCCCTGCACCCCATGGGAGACCAGGAAAAAGCACCTGGCTCCTGCCATCGGATCAGCACGGTGCGCCGGCTGCAGCGGCGGCCATTGGAGGGTGAACCAACGGCAAAGGAAGACCTTTCTCTCTCTGTCTCTCTCTCTCACTGTCCACTCTGCCTGTCAAAAAAAAAAAAAAAATCAGGAAAAACCAATAAACATGGCCAGCACGGCAGCTCACTAGGCTAATCCTCCGCCTGCAGCGCCGGCACACCGGGTTCTAGTCCCGGTCGGGGCGCCGGATTCTGTCCCGGTTGCCCCTCTTCCAGGCCAGCTCTCTGCTGTGGCCAGGGAGTGCAGTGGAGGATGGCCCAAGTGCTTGTGCCCTGCACCCCATGGGAGACCAGGAGAAGCACCTGGCTCCTGGCTTCAGATCAGCGCGGTGCGCCTGACGCAGCAGCCATTGGAGGGTGAACCAACGGCAAAGGAAGACCTTTCTCTCTGTCTCTCTCTCTCTCACTGTCCACTCTGCCTGTCAAAAAAAAAAAAAAAAACAAAAACAAAAAAAAAAAACATAATTACCACGGTGGGATATGGCTCCTTACGGCTTTGTCTTCACTTCCTGTTCACTTCTCTCCTCTCGCTTTGTCACTTTGGAGGCTGTCCTTCCGGGTTCTCTTTCTGGAGTTTTGCTCACTTGAGCCTGCACCTGCTTCCACAACCCTCAACAGTGATCCTTTATCCGGCTGTGAGTCTCCATTTCTCACTGTGCGTTCTCCTACATCTACATCCAGCATGTTGTAGGTGAAATCTTTCTAGTCCCTTCTAAATGCATCTCTCAAATGCTGCCCTGCCAGCCCCTCAGCTGTTCTCCGGGAAACCGGTACCAGTTTCCCTGCTACTGATCTCCTCCTTCTCCCCGGGGCTCCCACGTCCTCCTGGGCACTCCAGCTACTCCGCCTCCGTCCTTGCGGTCCTCATTCCCTCTCCCTTCCGTTAGGCCCAGACCCCTTCCCTCTCCTCTCCACGGCTCCTGGCGCGGCAGTGGTGCTTGGTTCTAATCTCCCCTTTCCATCATTCAGTTCTTCCCTGTGTCTCCTTCCCTGTGTCTGCCACTCGTGGGCATCTTCACCTCTAGCGTCTCTCTCTTCCGTAGAAACAGACTCATCGCTAATCTCCGCGGGCGCCCAGGACCTCCTCCTCCACTTCCGCCGCCCCCTCGGGCCCCTCCAGTTCTTCATCGTGCCCCGCACTTTCAAAAGGAGTCTCCATCTGGTCCTCGGTCACTGCGGGCCCCCTGCCACCGGGCTCCTCCTGCGCGCCCCCCGCTCTGGCGCCCTCCAGCTTCTCTCTGCTGGCCAGCTTCTTCCCATTGGATCCCAGCTTCTCATCCCCAGTGGCTCGCAGATCTTCTCCACTAATCCCCAGCTTCTCTCCACTGGACCTCGGCCTCTCTCCGCTTGGCCTCAGCTTCTCTCCACTGGACCCCCGTTTCTCTCCTCTGGACACCAGCCTCCCTCCACTGGACCCCCGCTTCTCCCCTATGGACACCAGGCTCTCTCCTCTGGACCTCAGCTTCTCTCCTCTGGACCCGCGGCTCTCTCCTGCACTGGCTCGCAGCCTCTCTCCACTGGCCCGCAGCTCCGTCGCATCCTGACCCAGTTTATATCCTCCGGGCCGCAGGTCCTCCCCGCTGGTCCGCACTTGGTCCGCAGTAGGCCTCACCCTCTCCTCGAACCCAGACCCGCTCCGAGGCCCGGCCGTTGCCCTGGCGCCCCTCGATGGGGCCCCTGTTGGGGGCGCGCCCGCTTGCTGTCCCCAGAGCCGCCGGGGGCTGCCCTTCTCCACGTCTGCAGGGCGCGTTAGCCTGGCGTCCATCCTCTCGGGGCTGCGGCTCGCCTTCTCCCCACCCTCCGCCCTCCAGTCCTCGTCCGGCAGCCTCGGGTGCCACACCCGAGGCTTCCGCGTGCTTCTGCCCAGGAGCTCCAGTCTCTTCCCGATCACGATGAGCCCGTTCCAGGGCACCCACACCCTATCTTTCGGCCGCTGTTTCTGCACCCTCCTCCAGCACAGCCCCCGAGGGGAACGCCCGCGGACTGTGGCCGGGTCGCGGGCCTCGTCGCCCGGCCTCGTCCCGCTACCCTGCTTGCCCCGCGGCTCCTTCGAGCTCTGGCGCGAATACCTCAGCAGGAGCCCCTTCTCCACAGACATCGCCCCTCGGCTGCGCCTCTGGTCCATCGCCCCCACCCCGGCTCCCCATTCCCCCACCCTCCCCGCCCCGCCCCCGCCCCGCCCACGCCCCGCCCACCGCCCGCCGGGAGCGCGGCTGGGCTGCTGCGCACGCGCGGGCGCGCGTGGCCGTTGGGAAGCGGGGCCCGGAGCCCAGACTCGAGGGAGTCCGTCCGCCGGGGGCGCGGAAGGCACGGCACGCGGCCTCCTCGCCTTTAACACCGGAGCCCAGCCCTCCGCCATCCCGACTCCGGGCGCGCTCTCGGCTGCCGGCTGTCTCTTAAAGCTGGGGCCCGGGCGCAGAACGACAGGCGTTGCAGCCAATGGCGACGCGCCCTCTGGACCTGGTACCCAATCAAAAGGCGCGGCTGCGGAGGGCCCGCCCCCGCCTCCGGGTGACTTCCCGCGCGGCGCGCGGGGCCGAGGCGGGGCGCAGCGTCTCCGTCCGCTGGGGAAGTCCCCACTCGTGTGTGCGGCAGCGCGGGGGTTCCTGGGGACGGCGGGGAGTGAGGGAGGGCGAGGGGAAGAGGAGGACGTGGTCCGTGCCGGCCGCCGCCTCGGGAGGGCGAGGGGAAGAGGAGGACATGGTCCGTGCCGGCCGCCTCGGGAGGGCGAGGGGAAGAGGAGGACGTGGTCCGTGCCCGCCTCCGCCTCGCCCCTGGTGCCGGTGGCCGGGGCCTGGCACGGTTCCAGACCGGAGAGGCAGAGCGTGGAGTTTGGAGGGCCGGAGACACGAAGCGTGGCCCGCAGGGGAAGCCTTGGGATGCCCGCATCCCTGCAGGCCCCAGCGCTGCAGCAGGTGCAGTGTCCGGTCAGCGCTCTGGGAGGTGATGGGTCACGTGGTTGGGGCTCTGTCCCCCATGGGAAGACCTAGACTGAGTGCCGGACTCCTGGCCGTGACCTGGCCAGCCCTGGCCATCGCTGGCGTTTCAGGAGTGAACCAGCAGATGGGAGATCTGTCTGCCTCTCTCCGTGTCTGCGCTTTCAAATAAAAATAAATATAAACGTTAACAATATGTACACACATGTAATGCTTATAGCATATATACGAGGATATTTCAAAAAGTTCTTGGTGGCACAGCGGGTTAAAGCCCTGGCCTGAAGCACCGGCATCCCACGTGGGCGCTGGTTTGAGTCCCGGCTGCTCCACTTCCAGTACAGCTCTCTGCTGTGGCCTGGGAAAGCAGTGGAGGATGGCCCAAGTCCTTGGACCCCTGCCCCATGTGGGAGACCTGGAAGAAGCTCCTGGCTCCTGGTTTTGGATCAGCACAGCTCCAGCCATTGCAGCCATCTGGGAAGTGAACCAGCGGATGGAAGACCTCTCTCTGTGTCTCTACCTCTCTCTGTAACTCTATCTTTCAAATAAATAAATCTTAAAAAAAATAATAAGTTCTTGGAAAATGGAAATAAAAGGCAAATTTATTTAGGTGCAAAAATTGTTTAAATTCATGCACAGTTTCTCAGAATATGCATTTTCTGGTTTTCCTTAAGTTGTATTTATTTATTTTAAAGGCAGAGTGACAGGGAGGGAGGGAGAGAACATCGATCCGCTCTTTCATGTCCCAAATGCTTGCAATAGCCAGGGCTGGGACAGGCCGAAGTCAGGAGCCAGAAACTCCATCCAGGTTTCCCACATGGCTGGCAGGGACCCAAGCTCTTGGGCCATCCTCCACTTCCTTCCCAGGAGCGTTGGCAGGAATTTGGATTGGAAGGGCCAGGACTCGAACCAGCACTCTGATATGGGAAGCCTGTGATGCAGGTGGTAGCTTAACCCATGGCACCACACACCAGCCCCGTGTTAGGACTCTCCTCATTATGAAATGCCCCCTTTATTTCTGGTGGGGTTGTTTTTCTTCCCGCCTACTTTGGCCATACCAGCTTTCTTTGGCAGGCTGTGCATGGTGTCTATTGTCCCATCATTTTATTTCAACCTTTTTGTGTCCTTATATTTCAAGTATGTCTCTTTTAATAGAATATAGGTGCTTTCTTTTCCAAAATACAGTCTGACCATTTGTTTTTTAATTGTAGGATTTAATTCACTTGTGCTATTGTAATTACTAATACAGCAGGCTCCAAACTTGCCAACTTGCTTTTTAATTTTCTCTTTGGCCCACTCAAGTATTTTATATTACTTATTTTCTCCTCTGTTATGCTTTTATTTCTTTTTAACTGTTCTTTTAATATTTCTATATTTAAAGGAGAACCTTAGAGAAGACAATGCTTAACTTAAAAAGGTAAGTGGTTTTGGGGCCGGGGCTGTGGCATAGCAGCCTGCAGTGCCGGCATCCCATATGGGCGCCAGTTCAAGTCCCAGCTGCTCCAATTCTGGTCCAGCTCTTTCAAATTAAAAAAAAAAAATCTTAAAAAAAAAAGAAAAGATAAGTGGTCTAGCAGAGCGTGTGGCTTCTACAAAAGCCGAGGTATACCCATCATCTCTACAGCTCAGCACCCTGTATGATGACAGCAGTAACAACAGCACTGATGTGATAGCCGACACTGTATTCACCATATAGTACGTGCGGCACTGTTGCTAACATTGTATCTGAGGATACTTCAAAATGTTTGTGGAAAATGGAATGAAAAGTTGGGGCAGTTAGCCTAGTGGTTAAGACACTGGTTGAGATGCCCGTATCTGATACGGGAGTGCCTGGGTTCTGTACGCAGCTCTGGCTCCTGACTCCAGTTTCCCGATAACTCAGACCCTGGGAGACAGCAGTGATGGCTCAAGCAGTTAGGGTCCTGCCACCCACCATGGAGACTTAGAGTTCCTGGCTCCCAGCTTCAGCCTAGCCCAGCCCCGATCCTTCTGGGCCTTTGGAGAGCGAATCAGAGGATGGGAGCTTTATCTATCTGTTATTCTCTCTCAAATAAATACAGAAATGAAAGTTTTAAAAATAAGTTATTTTGGGGGTTGGCGCCGTGGTTCACTTGGTTAATCCTCCACCTGCGGTGCCGGCATCCCATGTGGGCACCAGGTTCTGGTCCTGGTTGCCCCTCTTCCAGTCCAGCTCTCTGCTGTGGTCCGGGAAGGCAGTGGAGGATGGCCCAGGTGCTTGGGCCCTGCACCCGCATGGGAGACCAGGAGAAGCACCTGGCTCCTGGCTTTGGATCAGCACAGCACCAGCCGTTGTGCCCATTTGGGGGGTGAACCAACGAAGGAAGACCTTTCTCTATGTCTCTCTCTCTCACTGTCTATAACTACCTGTCAAATAAAAAAAAAAGTTATTTTGGTGCAAAAATATTTTAAATCCATATGCCCAGTCTTCATAAAGGTCATGGAAAATGCAATTTATGAGAGGCTGGTGTTGCTGCTGAGTGGGTTAGGTGGTGGTTAAAATGCCCCCATCCCATTCTGAGTGCCTGCTCGAGTCCCGGCTTTCAGATTCACAAGAGTGCCAGTTTGAGTCCTGGCGGCTCCACTTCTGATCCAGCTCCCTGCTAATGTGCCTGGGAACACAGCAGATGACCCAAGTGCTTCAGCCCCTGCCACCAACACGGGAGACCAGAATAGAGCCTCTCTCTCTCTCTCTCTCTCTCTCTCTGTCTCTCTCTCTCTCTCCCCTCTCTCTGTCAGTTTGTTTCAAGCAAAAAGAAAAGCTTGTATGAACAAATTCCAACCAGATTACATAAATTAGGTGAAATGGACAAATTTTTTTGAAAAACGCAACTTCCCAAAAGTGAAACTGGAAGTAGAAAGATGTGGGTGGGGCTGTGCTGTGGCCTAGTGGGTTGAGCTCCTGCTTACGTGCTTGGGAGGCAGCAGGTGAGGGCCTAAGAACTTGGGCTCCGGCCACTCACACGAGAGGCCTAAGTGAAGTTTCGGAGGCCTGACTTCCGCCTGGCTGTTGAGGGCATTTGGGTAGTGAACCAGCAGATGGAAGACCTCTTTCTTTCTCCCTCTCCCTCTCTGTCACCCTGCCTTTCAAATAAATAGATCACTGCAACCTAGGAGTAGGGTTGGCATGGCGGCACAGCAGGGTAGCTGCTGCCTGCGGCACCTGCATCCCATATGGGCTCTGATTCAAGTCCTGGCTGCTCCGCTTCCAACCCAACTCCCTGCTAATGCCCCTGGAAAAGCAGTGGAAGATGCCCAAGTATTGGGGTCCCTGCTACCCATTTGGGACCCAAAAGAAACTCCTGGCTCCTGGCTTTGGCTCTCTCTGCCTTTCAAATAAATAAATCTTAAAAAAAAAAAAAAAAAACTAGGAATAAACACAACAAAATATGTGTAACATTTTTACAACTACAAAATATTAATAAAAAATAGACACCGTTAATTGAAAAGCTATCCTATGTTCATAGATTGGAAGCTTCAATTTTGTAAAGTCTATTTGACCACATTGATTTATAGATTTAATGTAATTTTTGGGGGGAGTGGAAATTAACGTGCTGAGTTTATGTGGACATGCAGAGGATCTATGATACCCCATAAAAATGTAAAAGGGGTGACTGCGTTGTGGTGCAGTGGGCTAAGCCGCTGTTGTGACACTGGCATCCTGTATTGGAATGCCTGGTTCGAGTCCCAGCTGCTCCACTTCCAATCCAGCTCCCTGTTAATGCACCTGGGAAGCCAGCAGATGATGGCCCGAGTGCCTGGGACCTTGCAACCCAAGTGGGAGACCCAGATGGAGTTTCAGGCTCCTGGCTTCGCCTTGGCCCAGCCCAGTCATTGTGGCCATCTAGGGAGAGAATCAGTGGATGGAAGATTCTCTCTCTCTCTCTCTCTCTGTAATTATTTCTTTCAAATAAAACAAATCTTAAAAAAAAAAAAAAGGCTCTTTTACACCCACATGAAAAAGCTACAGGTACAAGCTTCCAGAAAACAGAATATCTTCATAACCTTGAGACAGGCAAAGCTTTCTTCAACAGGCTACAGAAAACCTTCACAGTAAAAGGCTGATGAGCTGAGTTGTAACATTTGGAACCACTAAGAGGGAGAAAAGCAAAGCCTATAGGAGGAGGAGGTCCTGGCAAAGCTACAGCCTTCAGAGGCTCCTCTCCGGGAACCAAGAGTTCCTACAACTCAGCAGGGAAAAGATG